GGAAGCGACGTGGATTCCACATCTGGAGCAGGACAAGATGCGGCTGGCCAAAGCTATAGCGTCCCAACGCGGCCTGCTGGTCTCCATTGCGAAGACCTGGCACGGTCACCGTGCGGCCGAGCTTGTGCTGCTCGAGGGAACCAAGTCTTCCATTGAAGAATTCACGTGATTAAACGCATGACAGTTGCCGCGTATTCTTTTTTCCACGTGCGCGGGACGGATCTGAGAAGGCTGCAAGTTCTTCGTGGCTCCGACTTTGAGCTGGCCGTTGCTAGTTTGGACGAGTCGCTTTCCAGGTGCCCGACGATGTGAGTCAGGTTCGATGTTACAGGGTGAGGGTTTCCTGGGCTGCGATTTTTCAAGTCGCCGAGGGTTTGAGGACCAGTGCACCTCTGCAGACAGGCTCTGGGCTTCTCGCTACGGCCGGCTTGTGGTGAAGACGGTGCCAGCCTTGCATGAGCATCTTGGCTTCTCCAAAAGCAAAGCCCGAAAACTGAACAGGCGTGACATGATGCTGTTATGCGAATGCAAGGGAAGAAGGTTGTAGGATGACAGGATACTAGTTGGGTTGGGAGAAGTGTCGGAGCAAAGGAAGTGCATGGTCACGCCGCACCAGCAGAGCTAGCCACATCGTCAAGTCAGCGGCCATACAGGCTTTTATGTGATGCAAGTGAGGCGTTGGCCTGAATTAGAGTGAACAGTCTGGTCAACTGACCAGAATCATGTCCTGCAGATGAAGGCAAGGTTCCCCCTCCTTGCCTCTTGGTGCGGTAGTGATTTTACGGGAACGTGTTTCAAGAAGACGATTCGCCCAGGGATGTTTTAATGGCAGGAGGGCTTTGAGCTCGTTTTCTAAATGACCTCGAGCACAGCATGCACAGCACAGGGGGTTCAAACCCGTGCTGTTGGCTGGGCAGCGGCGTTGTCCGATTGTACAAGTCGACTGCTACAGACCGGCTGCTCGGCGTAAGCCGGCAGCACTTTGTGCTGCCTGATAGCTTCGCCAGATTTAAGCCTAAATTGGCTTACGCCTGTTCTCAAGGCAAAGGACGTGACATCCCCTTCGGACAGGAAAACATGGGGCATGAAGAAGGTTTTGTCCTGTGGCCACAAGAACTGCAATGCCTGCTTTAAGACAAAGCATCAAACTGCTGGATCCTGTTTCATTGTTTGGCGAGGTTCCCAGCTGGCAGCCGAGTGGGTGCAGCGAGGACACAACCAGCCAGCGAGCGGTGGAAAGCAGACCGGAGAGGGAAGCCTCTTCAATGCGGGTAGCTCTGCAAAGTAAGGTCGCTTCTAGGGTCCTGTACGTAGTACAGCACCCTTGTAATGAGCACCCAAATTTCAACCCTAGATTGGAGAACTGGCCATGTACGCTCTTATGTTCACTGATGATTCTGTCATGTCAACGTGATAGGTGCCCTGATCCGACATATCTGTCATGGTGCCTTCGGCAAGTGTTGCTTCGCCTGCGCCTGATGAATCAACGTGAGTCCTCAGGGTCTTGATGTTAGCTGCCATGATTGTACACCCCGCGCGATCGCAGCTTCAGCTGTCAATCCGTGGCTCAAGGTGTAGCACAGCAGCTTCTATGTTCCACGTGGATCCTTTATACAGTGCAGAGCTTTCTCTCCCCCTGATCCACATGCAGTCATTCCTGGCAGACCAAACGAGCCACCTCCGAAACGCTTAAAATTCAAAATTGTTGAGACCAGTTCTTGACGGAAGCCAAGATTTTCAAGGCATCTGTGCTGATACAAAGTTTTCTTGCTGACTGTGAGCGGGCTGCGCGCGCGCGCGCGTGTGTGTGTGTGTGTGTGTGTGTGTGTGTGTGTGTGTGTGTGTGTGTGTGTGTGTGTGTGTGTGTGTGTGTGTGTGTGTGTGTGTGTGTGTTTGTGGGGTTGGTGTGTGTGTGTGTGTGTGTGTGTGTGTGTGTGTGTGTGTGTGTGTGTGTGTGTGTGTGTGTGTGTGTGTGTGTGTGTGTGTGTGTGTGTGTGTGTGTGTGGTGTGTGTGTGTGTGTGTGTGTGTGTGTGTGTGTGTTGTGTGTGTGTGTGTGTGTGTGTGTGTGTGTGTGTGTGTGTGTGTGTGTGTGTGTGTGTGTGTGTGTGCGTGCGTGCGTGCGTGTGCGTGTGCGTGCGTGCGTGTGTGTGTGTGTGTGTGTGGGTGGTCTGAACTCTAACACAGATAAAGCCCAGGAATCCCATGCCGCCATCAGATGAGGCGTGCGGCATGTGGCATGCGACAAGTTTTGTGTCAACAGCATGTTACATTGGGGTTTGTTTTCGCTTCGAGAGCCTGAAGGCTTCAGACGAGCATTGACAGTGGTTTGATCTTTTCGATGCTTTTCCCTTGCAAGCCGTCTTGGCCCATGAACCTACTTGGCATGAGAAACGGACATGGACAACAAGATGTGAGAGTAGGCAGAAAGGCCCCCTAGCTTTCGCCGCCGTTTCGCCGCAATGGCAGAGCAGCCTACGATTGTTTTGGACTCTCGGAGCTGACACAAGGTGACCAAAGTAACATAAAGGGACCAAAGATGACCAAAGTGACCGTGGCTGATTTGCATTGTCAGGGGGCAGGCATGGGCAGGCTGATCCTGATGCACTTTACAAGCCAGGCATCTGTTTGTCCGAGATGTAGCCGAACCCGAACCCCACAAAGCTGGCGCGCCTAGCTTACGGCTTTTCTAGTCACATCAGGCTCTGGCTTTTAAAAGAAGCTGTGGGGGCCAATTGGTGTCCCAAGGACAATGGAGGTGGATACCTGCGAGTCGGCTTCGCAACTCAGAGCAGCCCACAGGAGGAGCCGAAGCTCGGAGCCAAAATCAGCAGCGCTCATTTTGCGTATTTCTTAGGAGACAACCCCAAAGCACTGTGTCTGCTCTCAATTTTTTCTTGCCTGTTTCTTGATTGCTGGCTGTCCAGAGCTTGAGGAATTGCTCAGCAATCGCAAGTGGTCGCGGCAAAGGCCCCTTCTCAGAGTCGGGGCCATGGAGTTGGGCATGGGTCGGGCGAGTCGGCATCCTTTTGTAAGACACACACGTCACAGAAGCTGTAAGCTTGCAGTACGCAAATATGACAAGGTCAGGATGGTCAGTTTCGGGTTCACTTTGAGTCACGCGATGCGAGGGTTGCTGAGCTGGACGGGCATCCCCGGAAAGCAGCCGCAGCATGCATTCGTGGTCCTGCCAGGCAAGGAGACGCTGGTGTTTGGCAAGGAGGTGCTCTCCCTGCCGTTCTACAGGCGCTGAACGCTGCCAAAGCAGACTGCTGTAGCTTTGCAGTTGCCCCACTCGCCTTCACTTCTGCCCCAGGCTGTTGCGGCCAGCACGCCGTGGCCTGCCGCTGGACATGGCCCATCAGGCCTCCATTTGGGAGGCTGCTTTGGCACGTGAGGCTTCCCAGATGTGGAGAGGTACTTTTGCCGAGGGTGAAGCCAAGAGCAGTGAAGCACCGGACCTAGGCCTTTTCGATGGGCAGTGGCCATCGGATGCAAAGGTGCAGAGCTCACTCACGTTTCATAGATGCTCTACAGTGCTACATGGCCCTATTGCTGCTAGAAACTACGACTACAGACACAGACTCACCCACAAGCCAGAACCCCAAAGCAATTAATTACCTTCCACGCTACGTGACCATGGCCTTGAAGAGGTTCGACTCTTTGACATGTGCTTCAACATCTTGTTTTGCCCAAGGCTGCAGAGCCAGCTTTTTTGAACGTGCTCCACAGCCCGTGTTGCAGTGGCTCTCATGGCTCGCCCGGGGCGTCTTCTTCTGGCAGCAGCTGCGCTGCTCTTTGCGCTGCGCTGCTGCTTCGTGCCAGGCCCTTCGGAGTCTCCGAAGCCCAAGTCCGACTTCAATCCTGCGGTCGCCGCCTCCGCAGCCTTGCCTGCCCTAACCATGCTGGCACAGGATGCCGAGGCCAAGTACGGAGACCAGCGCAAGTTTGCGGCCGTGCTGGTGCCACTGACAACCCTTGTCTTCCCTGCAGTGGCGATGGGCATGTTCGTACTTTACTCCTTCCAGGAGGATGCATTCTGGCGCGTGGTCCCGGGAACCAGGCGCGCGAAGGAGCTCGAAGACGCCTGGAGGGAGCACCCGCTCTTCGCCAATTCCAAGGACCCCCTTGATGGCCTCATCAACCCTGACGACTATGAGACCTGAGCTGCACTACAAAGAGGAGGGTGAATGGCGGGTGAATGGTGGGTGAATGGTGGGTGAATGGTGGGTGAATGGTGGGTGAATGGGGGGTGAAGGGTTGCGCTTGTTAACCAATTCTTTGTATTCCGGGTAGCATCGCAAGCACTGCCAAGGAGAAGGGCCTGGAGGAGGCTTGGGAGCGTGCGAAGCCTGCTGGCAGCACAGTGACGGTGAAGGACAAGCTCAAGCAGATGGCCAAGCAGAACAACCCGCACTGGGAGTCCTGGAGGTCTCTGTCCGCCTAGGCTGCGAACGTGCGGGAGCTTTTTGAAGCCAGTGTCACGCAGCTGTGTAGGCTGCCTCATTGATGGTCTCAGCTGTATGAGCAAAAAGAGGGACCTGTTGATGCTGTCAGCAAGTGATGCTGTCAGAGTTTACTGTCCGCTACATGACTGTTTCCAGTTTTGCTGCACCTGTTGCACTAACCGGTTTGATTCGATGCAACTGTAGACTCAGGCCGCTGTCTCTTGTGTTTACTCGCTTGGGGTGGTGGCCCAAGGCTGCAGAGCCAGCTTTTTTGAACGTGCTCCACAGCCCGTGTTGCAGTGGCTCTCATGGCTCGCCCGGGGCGTCTTCTTCTGGCAGCAGCTGCGCTGCTCTTTGCGCTGCGCTGCTGCTTCGTGCCAGGCCCTTCGGAGTCTCCGAAGCCCAAGTCCGACTTCAATCCTGCGGTCGCCGCCTCCGCAGCCTTGCCTGCCCTAACCATGCTGGCACAGGATGCCGAGGCCAAGTACGGAGACCAGCGCAAGTTTGCGGCCGTGCTGGTGCCACTGACAACCCTTGTCTTCCCTGCAGTGGCGATGGGCATGTTCGTACTTTACTCCTTCCAGGAGGATGCATTCTGGCGCGTGGTCCCGGGAACCAGGCGCGCGAAGGAGCTCGAAGACGCCTGGAGGGAGCACCCGCTCTTCGCCAATTCCAAGGACCCCCTTGATGGCCTCATCAACCCCGACGACTATGAGACCTGAGCTGCACTACAAAGAGGAGGGTGAATGGCGGGTGAATGGCGGGTGAATGGTGGGTGAATGGTGGGTGAATGGTGGGTGAATGGGGGGTGAAGGGTTGCGCTTGTTAACCAATTCTTTGTATTCCGGGTAGCATCGCAAGCACTGCCAAGGAGAAGGGCCTGGAGGAGGCTTGGGAGCGTGCGAAGCCTGCTGGCAGCACAGTGACGGTGAAGGACAAGCTCAAGCAGATGGCCAAGCAGAACAACCCGCACTGGGAGTCCTGGAGGTCTCTGTCCGCCTAGGCTGCGAACGCGCAGGAGCTTTTTGAAGCCAGTGTTACGCAGCTGGTAGGCTGCCTCATTGATGGTCTCAGCTTTGTGAGAATCAAAAAGGGACCACGGGCCGGTCTTAGACAGACCTGTTGATGCTGTCGTGGATACATGGTTTGGTTGCTTCAGCAGGTGCTTGTGATCCTACCGCCACTGACGCCTGCTTTCATCAAGGAGGATGTTTTGCAGACGCCCGGCCTGCATTGATGCAGCGCGCGTTGATATGTTGGAATTGCCTAAAGCCGAATCGGCGTAAGGATGCTGGTGGAGCATCTGGGAACCTGAGCCTGCACGTGGAATCTTTCAGTCTGGTTCTTGATGCCGCAATCCCCAGCACTTCTTCCCAGGATTTGCCCGAGCTGCGGCAATCGAGTCAGTCTCTGTGGCCCTGCAAAGTCCAGGCCTGGGCCACTGGGTCGGGGGAGCAAACTGCAGCACTCGCCGTGCTCCGAACACTCAGGCCTGGTCGCGCTCCTCCAGCAGAACCCCTCACCATGCCACGAGTCTGGAGACGGATTTGTCATGAGAGAGAGAGGTATATGTAGGGACATGCAAGGAGCTCTGGAAGAAGCGTCAGAGGGATCAAGAATATCATCAAATAACGTAGTTTCCTGTTTCGTGCTGTTTCCCCGAGTCGTTGCCGACAGACAGAGACCCGGGCTGACCTGATCGGCATGGGCTGACTTGCATGTATATATATATATATATATATATATATATATAGCTGAGAGGCGGGCTGCTGAGCACAGCGCATCTCATGTGCACGTTCGTTTGTCTTTGTGTGCATGTGATCAAGGTTGCACGGTCTTGAACGTGGGCTTCTCGTGCTGCTTTGCGCAGCCTTCGATTGAAGGGTTAGCGGTTGAGTCTGCGGGTCGCCGCTTGAACATTGGAGGACTATCAGATCTTTCGAGTGCGGTGAAGCAGCAACGGTTGGACACAGATACACACACCCAGAGTGCTGAAGATGGAGGGGGTCGGGTCATGTCAGGGCGGGGAAGCAATGGGTGTGACTCAAGCTTAACATTAAGAGGACGGGTCCTGACGAACCTTCTCGTGGAAAGATTGCCAGGGTCTCGGTTCCATGTGGGCCAATGAGGGACTGCTACGTTTTGTGTAGTTGGGGCCATAACATCCCAGGAAGCTATGGCATTTCAATCTCTCCGAATCGTGGCTGCTGGTGGAAGACATCTTGAAGAGGACCTAACTGCAGTCTGTGAATGCGCCCAAGGCACCTGGATGAATATCAACAATCGCAACAAGCTCACCTGCTTCGAATTACTGGAATGTCCGCTGTCAGGCTTGCTCTTATGCAGATTCACGTGCAGATTAAAGGCTCGACATGTGCGAAGGACGGGCGAGGTGTTACGGAATCTCGATGCAGCCCTGGACAACGACTTCTCCGGTGTAGCACCGCTGACGTACGTTCTGCCAGACTTTGAGGCATCTCCCAGCTCTTTGGGGGATTATGGGGGCGGGAAATTGCTCTTTATGTCGGAGCAGAGATTTTTCGGGTCAACAACTGCTCGCCTTTTTCAGGAGGACATGACAGGCTTCGTCCAGGACCAGGGAGCTTCTGGTGAACAGGACGCCGAGGACTCCGCGCATGAAGGCAGAAATTCGAAGTTCTTACTTAGGACTAGACCTACGTGGTCAGGGCATTGTCAGGACAAGTTGCCTCGAGACTGGATTTCGTCAAGCTCATACTGGAACTCAAACCTGGTGGTATCTCTAAGTATCTTTGACGAATCTCTTCTGATCTGCAAAGATTTGACGTTGGCATCCAGACTTGGAAGAACTTGGATTCTGTTGGCTTCCGGACTTTGGCCACGGCCATGGCCATCTCACCAGGCTACTGGGCACAAACTAAACTGGCCCCTCTGCCCCCCAGCCTTGAATCTCCGCAGGATGCGACCTCTTTCGGGCGGCAGCGTGTGACGCTGACGGCCGAGCGGGTGGTGATTCCCGAAGCTCTCTTCAGGCCTCAGGAGCCACGCCGCTTGTGAAGCTGATGTGCCGCTGGTCATGGGAAGGAAATGGAAAGGCAGGCACTCCTTGGTGCAAGTGCTGCAAGTGGCACGTGTCCCTCACCCGGAACCGTCTGAAAGTCTTCGAACACTTGAATGCCTCGTGCTTCCGGAGGACCACGGCCTTCCACTATGCGGTTTGCCTGAGCTGCTTGCACGCACTCAAATGCACTTGCCCTTGGCGATCCTCACGAGACCTGCAAGGTTGGTCTACGCTGCGATTCTGGCGGTTCCAGAGGCCGGTGCGAAGTCTGTCGAATGCTGCAGCTACGTGCTGCACGGTAGTCCTGCTTTTGGATCACCTCTTTCATGCTGAAACCAATCAATGGTGAGACCCGGGAAGCCTGTCACCCAATCCTGTCGTATGCAGTAGTTTTACATGTGAAGCCCCCAATATGACGAAAGTGTTTAACGTTGCGCCCGCTTTTGTCCTGGGGGTCTCGCGGTAAAGTCAATATTCAGAATCTGGCCTGCTCTAAAGTCAAGTTTTCCGGGTGTTGCAAGAAGTTTGCGCCCCTTTAAAGCTACCGGGGAAGCTATGGGGGGAGTGGCTCATGTTGCATCCGAAGGCCGTGTAAGGAGGGCCCACATCGGCTTCAACATGCTTCAACTGTTCAGGGAGGGGAACACACCACAGCGTCCAGCATTAATCGAGGGTGGTAAGCCTTCTGATCAGTGTTACGAGCAGTGCAGCAGTGGGCTGATGGGTCAACGGACTTGACTTGTCGCAGAACCTCTGTCTTGTGGTCCTCTTTGGGTAGGAGACATGGCGACCCCATTTCGGCCGAGTCGTCCTCTGCGGGGGCCTGGCGCGACTGCCTGGGCTCGCATCGAGGCTGAGGCAAGCCTGCTGTAGGCAGTGGCATTGGGTTTCGACATGTTTCTCGCATAAAGTACGGTAGGGTGAAGCGGCTGAACACCGTGACAGCCCGGCCTCGGGAGTCGGAGATATGATGCTGAGACCGCCCTCCTTAGAAAGCAGTTGCGAGGCAGGCCTTGCAGCACGCGGGAGTTGTCTTTGGTTTTTTCGGGCAGGCTTGACCTACGCCAGCTTCTTCCAAGCCATTGGCCCGTCGAGGCTGTGGCCACGTTCAATGGGTGATTTCTTGGTTGCAGGCTCCATAAACCTTCCTTGGGGGGGGGGTCGTGCTTTGTGGAGTGATGCCCCTCACGTCTCTGCTGAAAACTTCCGGGCTGCTCATTCCAACTTTGTGTTATCATTCGGAGACTGGCGCCATCGCCAGCCTTCGGCTAAAGCAGCATCTGCGCCGAATCCGGCAGGTCATCGTCGAGGAGGAGCCAGAGCTCTCGTTCTGGCGAGGTAGGACGAGCAGCCAGGAGAAGCGCGAGTGTTGGAATTTCTTGGATATTTCATGTCCACCTGTGCGTACTGAAGTCTGCATGGCGTGCGGCGTGCGACTGCCTTCATAGATCGATCTGTTACTGTTTGGCAGCAGTGACCATGCCTGGCATTGCAGGTGCTGCGCAGCATGCGCTCAACTCGGACGAAGTATGGGATGAGGCGAGGTGGTTTCGAAGATAGATGCACGCATCAGAGAAGTAATGCGCACTGGGGCGCCGATCCAAAAGCAGGAGGTGGCTAAGCTTCGGACGGTTTGGATGTTTCCGGTGTGCAATGCAGGCGCGGCAGCGATCTGCAGATACACCAGGCCAATGCTTGTGCTTAGTGCCGTGTGTCCATTGGCTGGAGCGTCCGTGTCGACAATGCTGCAGCAGGAAGGCCTGATCAGCGTCGGATGACATCGGACAGGGGAAGCGCTGGGTCCAAGCTTCCGCAGCTGAGTCGGCGAGACTTGTCCATTCCGTCGCCAGCTACAGCCAGTGGCACAGGGATGCCAGGCATGTCCTTGCCTCACAAGGAGGTCAGAGGCCAGTCAGATCTGTCGCTTGGTGGTTCGTCCCCACCACGCAAAAAGGGAAAGGGCAAGGGAAAGACCCATTCCGTGCCACAGGGAGGCGTTTCCAGTGGCCGCAGGATTTCCACAGCCACCATTGTGTCGTCGGTTGTAAACAGGCAGCCTGCGCCTGCCTCGGAGTCTCCTCCGCTTCAAGAAGCAAGCGCACAACCAGAACCGCTCGTGGAAACCAGCCCGGTCCAGGCACATGGCAGCCCCGCGCCGGAAGCAGAAGCTACTGATGATCCTGACGCTACTGCGACAGTTGTGGACAGCACAGACGCAAGCAACAATGAGCAGCCCACCCAAAGCGAGCACGTGGACACAGCTGTGACTGTGCCATCGGTGGAGTCAACAGATGGCACAGAGTCTGCAGTCGGCGAAGCGCCCGTGCTATTGCCGTCTGCAAGCGAGGATGTGCCTGATGTGCCCGACTGGCCTCCAGAGTTGCCACCGCCCTCGGACGCGTCCCCTGCATCCAGCAGTCCTGGGAGCGGACTGGACTTCCCGGATCTGCCGGCTGACCTTCGTGAAGAGGCGCAAGCGGGATGCTTCCGGCGTTCGGGCGTTCGGGCGGTTTCCTTCGATCGCCTTGCATGTCTGTTCTGCCCTTATCGCACGAGCGTTGCACTTGCTTGTATGCCATCTCACCTTGCCGACTTGCCCCTGTTGTTTGTGCAGGGTTTCTGGACCTGGACACCCACTCGGAAGAGGCTGAAGCGCAAAGCCCCCGCTTCAGACTACGTGCAGCTGCGCAAAGGAACCGCAGATTAAAAGAAGCGTCTTCAGAAAGAGACCGCGAATGTGAAGGCATCCTCACCCTATGCCCCTCTCGCTGTCGCTGTCGCTCTCGCTCTCTCACTCTCTCTCTCTTTCTCTCTCTCTCTCTCTCTTCTTTGTCCTTCGCGGCTTATGAGCTGCAGAAAAGGATTGTAGGATTGATGTGTCTCGCCCGTCGCTGATGATGTCATGTTCTGAGCTTGAGACGTGGTGGCTCAGAATCTCCGCGGCAACCGCAGCCCCAGTTCAATTCGCAGAGGTCCGTAGCTGTGTCGGGGATCCGGTTTTGAGATGTGTTTTATGCTTTTTATAGATGTATCGCACATGTCTTCGGCTGCAAATCGCGCCAGGTTTGCAACACAAGTTAGTCTGTCCTAGTTCCTAGGCATTTTCACACGGTCATCAGGGTGCAGGCTACCAGTAGCATCCTTGCGAGGATAGAGCAGGTGGACACGGACAGACGAAGGGTTCATGAGTCCTGAATGCGGGTAACCTGTCAATTGACAAGCGGTCAACTTCCTGTTTGTTTCTCTCTGATCGCGCAAACAAGGCGCGAGCGATCCAAGAGAGAGCTGTGGGAAAGTCACAAACACCACTGAGTACCATGTCGGGCCATGCAGAGCCCGAGGTCACCAACAAGCTACGAGTACGACTTTTCGAGGAAACCTGACGAAACCAGATAGCTCAACAGCGGTCCCTCATGGTCCCTCAACCTTGAGCCGCCTGCACGAGAGGAGTGGGTTGGGTGTCCAGGATGTGGCTTGGGAGAACCCCGTAAGAGAAAGCCTCCCAACACACCCCGACGGGACCGACCAGAGCAGCGAGAAAGTATCTAGTTGTCGGAGCTGGACAGGCCATAGAAACGGGATGGAAGTAGGTACGGCTGTTGAAGCACGGCCCTCACCGCTGCATCATTCCTTTTGTGGGGAAGTGGACAAAGAGAAGATGGATTAAAGATCCGTGGGTCAACCCTACATCCTGGACCCCTGAGAGGTTTCTTGCCAGAGTAGGAATGAGGAAGTTTCCCTTCGGCTAGGCGCAGGGGCCCAGGTGGAAGGGTAGGGCGAACAGATATCCCGGCACGCGTCGAGATGTGGCGGTGGGGGGTCGGAGATAGGAAATATTTTGAAGCAGTTGGAGGCATTGGACAGAGCTAGACAATCAGATAGACAAAATCGACAAATCGTAGTTGTTTCCGCACTGCCAGGCCTGGCGATGGCAGAGCAGACAGTGAGGGAATTGATCAACTTCGGCTTCTCGGCGGACCGTGCGCGTGAAGTTGGAAGCTCAGGTGCTCTGACGCTGAGGTGACGGATGCTGCAGAGCATGGCATAGTCATCCTCATGATGGGCGGTGCATTGTCCAATGATGTCGGTTAGAATGCAAGGACGTGTCGCTGCTTCTCAGGCTGTGGAAAACATTGGCGATACATCGGATGTACAGCTGGCCATCAACTGGTTGCTTGATCACGGCTTCATGGCTGTATCTCCGTATGGTGCACGGCGAGCCTGACCCCCCCCCCCCCCCCCCCCCCCCACATTGTTCCTGAAGCTGCACAGCGGACCTCAATGAATCCTAGGTGAGGAGGACAAAGGCGGAGCCGTCGAATTCAAGCACTGCCCTCACATCTGCGAGTTGCCCCTGGGCACGATCGTCAGAAAGGCCACAGCAGCACTGATAGGTCAACCACAAGAGATGTGCTTCCTTGCAATCTGGTATGCTTTCCATGTCATGCGGCGAATCAGATGGCATTGAGCATGTCAATGATCATGGATGCGTTCTTGTTCTGAAGACTCCGGTTCCATAGCTTCTTGGATCTGCAGGCAGCACTCCAATTCGGCAATCCGTGCGCCAAAAGGTGCAAGGGCTCCGAGAGTCTCGGCACCAACTAGACCCGGACACATTCAGCATATTCACTGAGTGGCCAGGGTTTGCTCTTCGCAACTGCAAGCCGCTGCAAGCCTGTTGTTAATCCGCAGGTCTTGCGAGGTCTTGAAGATGTCTGTCATGTGTAGCGTTCTTCTTCTGAGTGCCTCAGTCATGCCATCCATCGCAGAGAGGAACTGGGTGTGCCTCATGTGCGGAGTTACTCATTGTGGGCGCTATGTCAACAAGCATGCGGCTGGGCTGAGGATATCGTGGGGTTGGAGAGCACATTGTTTTCTTAGAGCTGAGTTTGTGTCGAGGCTCTCCAGCACTGGCAAGAGACGCGCGAGGCTGATTCACGAGCTCTTACAGTAGGCTCGATGGGGCATCGCAGCGTAGGCATCACGTGCCCGACTTCTTTTGATTGACGCATTGGCGTGCCGTGCCACCGGGGAATCTGCATGCATGCCTGGGTTGAAGCAGCGGGGAATGAAAAAAACTTCTCGGGGCTTTGAAGGGAAGCTGAAAATCAATGAAACAGGCGGCTTGCAATTTCGACCCCCTTAAATGGGGACTTGGCAAAAACATGTAACTGTAGCAAACAACGCGGAAACAGACCTGGAGCTGCAGGCGAGGCAGCAGCTGGAGTGTGCCGCCGAGGCCGGAGGGGAAACCGAGGTCGCAGGGTTCTGTCACTGGCCAAAAATTGCCGGTCTGTCCTTCAACAGCTTTATCGCCTCGGAAAGAAGCCGCTTTTACAGACCTAGTGCGCGCCGACAAGAAGCACCATGCTGGCGCTTGCCATGGTTCTTGGCATCTGCTGTGCTCAAGCGGACGTAGCTTGGCAGTGGACAAGCCAGCGTGGGACGAGCCAGTGGGACTACGCTACAGCCCTGCAGCTGGACACTCAAGGCGATATTGTTGTAGCTGGTGATGTCACCGGCTCTTTCAGCAACAACACGAACTCCGGTTCGAACGATGTATTTCTGATGAAGTTCAACAGTTCTGGCACGTGGCAATGGACAAGCCAGCGCGGCAGCAAGAAGTCGGACAATGCAAGAGCACTTCATATCGATCCGCTCGGCAGCATTCTAGTCGCCGGCTACACATTGAGTTCCCTGGATGGTAATGTCCACTATGGTGGTTCCGACCTCTTCGTGTCCAAGTATGACAAGGATGGAACCTGGCTTTGGACGCGCCAACGTGGCAGCGATGACTGGGACTACGGCCGTGCACTCCAGCTTGATAAGTCTGGAAATATCTATGTAGCCGGGTACACGGGAGGTTCCCTAGATGACAACCCAAAAGCTGGGGGCTACGATTTCTTTGTGATGAAGCTTGATCCTGTCGGATCTTGGGTGTGGACCCAACAGCGTGGAAGCAGTTTCTGGGACTACGCCAGAGCACTGAAGCTTGACGAGGCGGGGAACATACTGGTAGCGGGTCACACAAGAGGCGATCTGGATGGCAACCGAAACGCTGGGGGCAAGGATGTGTTCTTGTCCAAGTTTAGTGCGGATGGGAACTGGAAATGGACTCGACAACAGGGGAGTGCTGGAGATGATGACGCAATGGACCTTGGGTTGGACACAGCCGGAAACATTTTCCTCACTGGTGAGACGTCAGGTGCCCTAGATGGAGAGAATTTTGGAAGCTCCGACATCTTCTTAATGAAGTTTGCAAGTGATGGGGTTTGGGAGTGGAGCCGCCAGCGTGGCACTGGTAGCTTTGATGTGGCCTGGGCGCTGGAAGCCGACTTCTTGGACAACATCCTGGTGGCCGGATATACCGGCGGCTCGATGGATGGCCACGCCAATGCTGGGAGTTCTGATGTGTTTGTGATGATGTTCGACTCTTCAGGTTCTTGGCAGTGGACTGAGCAAAGGGGAACGCCTCTTTGGGATTATGCTCGGGCGCTTCGAGTCAATGCTGCTGGAGATGTCTTCCTGGCCGGATCCACGCAAGGCGAGCTTGACAACGGTCACTTCAGCGGGGGCGAAGATCTCTTTGTGATGAAGTTCAGGCGCTCAAACATCTCCAACGTTTCGGAGCTTGCAGCGCCAAGGCTAATTTGAATCATCTTTGAAGCGCGTGAGAGAGGCATAGAGCTACACTCTAGTAGACTCTAGCAGGCGCTGCAGCTGCTCTACGTGTGCAGACGAGAGCAGTGGAGCAGTCCTTTAGCCTTCTCGTGCGTGATGTGCTGGTCCTTCACCATCCCGTGGCGAAGCTCTGAAAAGCTGAGCTCTGCACTGTGATAGCCTGCGCACAAGTCGCGGGGTTGGGATGGCTGTTGAAGTGGCCCGACAGCTAAAAAAAGGCTGGCGTTCCCAGCGGGGTTCGCCAACCTGTCATAGTTTAGAACCCCTTGCTGGTGTTGCAGTCCTTTGATTTTAAGGTATAGGCTATCCTAGGCAGACAATGCAGATCAGATAGGTTTCCTGTAGGCGAAGCTGGGTTTTCACCCCATTTTTTCATCTGGACCTGACTGCGACTGGCAGGCCACTTCCTTTCGATGGGCCTGATGGACCTCAGCGTGTGGTGCTATGAGTGCGAGTCCTACGTTGAGCACGAGGCCTTGCAAGCTCATGCAAGCTCATCAGGTTAATGAAACCACATGAAACCAGCATTCAGAGTCGACATTCTCTTGTCCCGTTGCTGTCCGTATTCGGTCTCGGCGCATCCTGGCTCCAGATCCCTAAGGTTCATACCTTCATGCTTGCAGTGAGAAGGGCATCCGGCCAAAGCATAATCTGCAATGCCTTGCCAGGCACTTCAGCCGCTGGTGGCCCGAATGCAGCGATTGAAGTTTGGCGGCGCCGAGGAAGAGGAGATGACCTAGGGATAAAAGGCCAAAATCGCAATGGAGGGTTCACCATGCAGTGCGGTGGTACGGAGCAGAATAAAGGTTTCCGGCCAGCGTGTATTTCTTGATGTGGCTTGTGTATGAATGCGGAGAGAGAGTGCTAAAATGTTGGTGGTTTGTTTGCTCAGATAGGGTCCCCCGGTCCGGGGCCTGACCTGACAAGTGTGTAAGCTGTGCCGTGTCCGTTACCAGGGGCTGATCGTGCTGTACTCGCTGCTGCTCAGGAGCCAGAGGCCGAGGTTGGCAGTGTCTTGGATGCCGATGCGCAGGTGCCATGAGTGCACTTACAACCGCCTCCTGGCTTCTCTGCTCTCTCTCTGCTCTCTCTCTTCCTTTTGTCAGTCGGCGCACGGCTTCCTGGGCGACCCTTCCTGGCCCTTGCCGCGCCTGGCAAGTGCTTGCAACGAGGCGCATCGTTCGGCTTCTCCTGCTGTTGCCTAGATGCCTAGCTCTGCACACCTGCAGGAGGCCCGACCTGGGTACAAGACCATGAAGGCTGTGACAGCACAGTAAGACATACTAAGTTACTAAGGGTGCCTCCAATTTGAATGCATCAAAGTTCTTCTTGGGAAAGGACTTAGCGCTGCCAATGAGGCAAAGTGCTCTGTGGCAGTGCAGGCTCACGAGTACCTGGATGAGCCAGAGGTATTGAAGGCGAAGGTGTGACTTGCCCCGCACATCGGGCCAATGGTTCATGTTGCTTCCAGTCAGCCGCGTTCGAGAAGCAGATGCCTTTTGTCTAAGGAAGTTGCTTGCCGAGCTAATCGGGCGAAGCCAGAATTGTGTTGCTTACACCGGAGCAGGTGCCCCGCCATTCGTGCGAACACAACTCCGCAGTCGGGGGATGTCGGGGGTGGTAGTGCGTGCTTGCCGAGCCCCATGCCGAGGCATCAGTACAGCTTCTGGCATCAGAGATTATGCGACGAAGGCACGGCATGGCAGTTGCTTGCATCCAGGAGGGCAAGCTTGGAACTGAGGCTGACCGCTCGTAGCAATGCAGCAGGTGAGGTGTTGTCGTCGCGGTGTTGGCCGCCGTCGTCGTCGTCGTCGTCGTCGTCGTCGTCGTCGCTGTCGTAGTGATCGTTCTTGTGGTTGTCGTTGGGTTTCGACCCAACCACACAGCAGAAAGCTGACTACGTGAGATGTGGTGCAATGGCATTACCAGTGCAGGCAACCTCCTCCTCATCATCCTCTGCTGCAAAATCACCATGGCTGGCAGAACCCAGTTGCATGGTGCATATTGAACAGCTGATGACCTTGTTTGAAAAGAAGAATTTTCTGTTGTCGTTTATTTGCTGCGCTGCTGCAAGTCGTTCGGCGTGAGTGAAGCCGTGCAATTGCTTTTGATCTCGCTGTGTTTGTTACGTACAGCCTGGTCTCCTCTTGCAGAAGCAAAGAAAGAAAATAGCTAAAGATCACGCACAGATTTGTCGGTGAGGTTATGCGCACCATGTCCTTGTGGCGCTTTGGAAGAATGGCCCCCCAGAGGAATTAGTGCAGTTTTCGCGACTGTTCGAACAGCATGATCAGAGCAGAGATTTGGAGTTGCTCAGCCAAGCGCGAGGCAATCTGAAGCACTGGGTGCAGCAGAATCATGACGGCTTGCCGCAAAAGGCAGGTTTCCCACAGAAGGAGCCCATGGCATTCCGAAGCTGCCGAGTACCATAGCCGCAGCATCGCCATGAGATCTCATGAGGATATCAACGAGATTCACGGTGCCTGGTGGGACCCTTCCAACCCAGCCCCTCGGAGTGATCTGTTGCAGAGCATGGAGAAGCTGTGAGATCTGTGAGCTTGGGGAGCATGCGGAGCTTCTAAACGACCAGGTCGTTCCCATGGATGGAACTCTTCGCTCTGATCTGATTCAGTGGATGTTGGCTGCCTGGCTGTGCTGGGCTCCGGTATACAGTTTGCAGCCCTTCAAGAGTGATCGCTTGCACTGAGCTTTGAAGCCTCGAATTCTAATTGCTGGGGGTTGATTGTGACGTGTGGAGTTTCGAAGGACTGGGAGGGCCGCGCAGACCTGTGCTTGGCGCTTGGGACCTCCATGGCCCCTGGGATGCTGTACTGGCTGTATGTTTACTTATGTTCGATGGCAGAGAGTGATGTGTGTGCGTCACAGGTTTTTTTGGATGTGTTTGATGGTCACGCCCGCGGGCGTTGGAATTTTTGCAGGCGTTTTAACTTGATCTGAGGTGGGAATGAATGCAGATCGTATGGCTGTCGCCCCTGCGCAGCGTGCGAAGCGTCTGCCCCGAAGTGAGGTGCTAATCCTGCACTCCAGAATCCCCAAAGTAGCCACAAGTATGCCAAACTCGAGACTCTAGATGCTTTCCCTGTTGCCCTGGAGGCACTAGGGACCGTGATCGTGGCGCTGCAGCAAACACAGTGGCTTCCCAAAAATGCAGGGGGTGCGTGAACTGAGGGCATTCGCTGTGGCAGGCCATCTCGATCAGACAGTCTCAAAAACCTCGGCTGTGCAGAACAAACCACGTGATTCGTTCAGTGTTAAAGTTATTGCCAAGGTACGACAAGATTTCGTCTTTACGAATCTTTGCGCGACTGGATGACGTCCTTAAAGAACTGGACGCTCGGCTGCGGCGAGATGTGCGCACGGCAGCTATGCGGATATGTTGCTTCTGCCAGATTGTAGACGTACAATGGGGTCCGACCGTCCAGCAGACGAAAGAGCATGGCATAAGTATAAGATTGGAGAAGGACTTTTTGCTGGTGCTGCATCTGCCAGTGAGCAGAGCAGCCATGAACTCATATACAGCTTGCTGATACTTACTGAGAGAGGCTCAGTTTGCTCATCAGTTTTCCATGAACAGGCTTTCACAGTCTCGAGAACCCCGATCCGTCGCATGATAAGTCTTCGAAGTCAATCGATGCTCCCAGGCTGCGCTGCTGGGTCTGGACGTGGCCCATGGGCCTCTGCTGGCACAGAGGCACCAGCAGGTGGGCGGGGGGGGGGAGGGCAACCTAAACGGCAACGACTGCAGCTGTAGTCAATGTAGTCATGGAAGGCTGAGGTTCGGGCTTCGGGCCTGACTGTTACGGGACGGCTTTCGACAAGAGCATGTCGTCAATGTCGTCGGCATGCCAGCCAAGCATCTTGAATTGCATCTTTCCCTGCCGCAACAGGTAAAGGTTCCGTACGGTCGGGATGGTCGAAAGTCAGCAACAGCCGAGCTGGTCCTGGACCTGAGCGTCGGAAGCCGCGAGACCAAACCTGTCGCAAGAGGAGCATACAGCAACGACAGAGGCTCATGAGAGGCTCCAAAGATGTGGTGTTGCTGGGACATTGCGCCAAGGCAAATTCCGCGTGGTTGATCAGCCCGACTGGGACCAAGCCAAGTATGGAGACATCTGTGAAGTCGTAGAGGCACCTGAGGACCGCTGCATCCTCGCAACGTCGATGCTTGTGAGTGCTTGGTGCTTGATTTCGTAGTGTCCCAGTGTCCATAGCGTGTACTTTCGCCGTACGGAGCTGGACACTACTGCTTGAATTGCTGGTGCAGTATCACCATTCTTGCATACGGCTTCTATGCCGTCCATTGCGCGATACCACGCTGCAGAAATTTCCGGGATGCTTTTCTACCACGCGTGCACTCGCCAGGAGCTGGCGAAGCAGGGGCACGTGCAGCTGTTGTTCAGGGGTGACGGCTTGAAGAAGCAGGTCACACGCTTTCTCGGTGGTTGGTGGATCGAGGCTGCCATCAAGGGTCACCCGACGCAAGGGTTACCGCAGTAATTTCAAATTCTGGGGACTACTGCGCAATTACGGAGCTTTGAGCACCATGACGCGGGGGCACCTTTCCTGTCACACGTAGCAGGCTTGGGGCACCTGCGAGTGATGCTTACTGCCTCCAGTGTCTCCCCAAGCCCAGGCGAGGTAGACAAGATTCCGGCAGCTTGTCTCGGCACTTCAGAAAACTCCTTGCGTGCTTGTGCAGGCCTGCACCAGAGCAACGTTTCATTCCAATGTGCGGCTTGACTGCTAAGGTTGTGCCTGCCTCATGAAGCTGCCTGCCGGCCTGGCAAGAGCTGCTTGCCGCCTGCCTTGGCGGAACAATTCGTTCAGAACCTGTCTGCTGCATCTTCACTGATGGCAGACGTCGCATCTCTCATTTAAGCCATATGTGGCTGAAGAAGAAAGCATGCCGGACTTCTTGAATGAAGCTTTATCTGGCTTTGGTGCCATGTACAGTTTGGCACACCCCTTGCTCCGGCTATGGCGATTCTGCAACTACATGCGGAGAAACAGACCTGAGCAGCAGCAATGCTGCCACGCATGCTGGCTTTGCATAAGCTATCTCAAGCCACTGTTACTCCTGACGCTATGTGCTGTAATGGCCAATGGCCTTGAACAGTCTCGAGGCTTCAAAGGCTGCCTTGTATGAACCTAAGCTCTTCCTCGTCCTCCTCCTCATCTTCCAGTTTTAAGTCTTTCATGCGAGTTACCAAAAGAGGCCGCGCGGCCGAGCGCGCCGCCGCCCTGGCTTGACGCAGCGAATGCCCTGGGGGCACCCGGGATGGAAACCTCTCACGCTTTTCACAAGTTCCTGAGGTTTGCCCCGACAAGATCTGACAGTTCCGGTTGCTTTCCGAGCATCCTTTCATGGCCCGGGGCAGGTGTCTTTCGAACATGCCTCCGCGCAGCCTCCTTGGCTGCAGGCAGCCGTGGAACAAGGCCTTGCATGTCGATGTGAACGACATGTTAGGGGGCATTTCTCAGTTCCTCAGTTCAGTACGTGTCATGAGTCATGTCTGCAGTGTATGCCAAGATCCTGCATTCTTTCATTCTTCATTCTTTTCGCTCGTCACGTGTCATCGAGCGGACTGGAAGTCGACAGCTTCTTGCCAGCTTGTGGTTACATGCGGCTCCGAGCGGTCTACGCCCCGCAGGCGTCGTCTTCTACGACCCCGAAGGAAGAGACTCGTCATCGACATGTGGCCGGGTGGCGGTTGCACTTGTGTTGCACGGTTGTTAGTGCTTGTTAATGTCTAGGTAAGAGAGTCATTATTGGTTGTTTGATCCTCATTCGCCAGACCAGCATTTGCGCATCCTTGATTCACCGCGTGATTTTGGTTCGAGGGCTCGGACGCCCATTCCGACTGCCCGTTTGCCTCCATGAGGCCTTCGGTAATGTACTTTTTTCTCGTTTGCCTCTGGACGTCTACTACGGCCGCGCATGGCTTCAGCGCAAGAAGTCTCACGAGCATCACCCACCAACGCCTCGTGCAGCAGGAGCCATTTCTTTCCAGAGCTTGCAAATTGTCAGTGCAGAGGTGTTTCAGGAAGTCGCATTCCCTTTCGACATGACTTGCGCCTCAGCAAACATACTGACTGTTCTGTGTCTTGGCCCAGCTTCTTTCAAGAACTGATGTCAGCATCCGGCGAGGACGCGTGGGGAGGTCTCTCAGATGCCTTGCAGTCTGCGGGAGAAGCGATCTCCTCTGCAGCCGAGAATGTTGCACCTTGCATGCACTCTTGCCAGCAAACTCTGAAAAGTTTTCGCATAGATATCCTGGTCCGAGAGCTTTTGCCGTGAGGTAGGCTCTGTGACCGACACAGCGGCGAAGGCTATGCTAGGCCGGCAGCAGAGGAAATGCTTCGCTTGTGCGTCTAGCCTCCTCTGCTGGCAGGCCTTTGTTGGTTGCAACAGCAAGTTTGACTGTCGCTCCAGCTCCTGAACTGCCTTGCAGGCGACCGGGCCGTTGATTCATTCGAACTTCCACCTCCCACAATCCGCCAGATCAACAAAGAGGCACGTCAAGATACATGAAGAACAGTGAGGCAATTGCACGAGTTGTGTACGTGGAGGTAGTTCTGTGCGTGGTGGCGTTGTTAGCAGTCTTGGGCGCGGGCTATGCGGCTGATTTGCAACCTGACTGGTTGTGGCCGGTACGCGTACCTGGAGGGGAACAAGGGAAAAGGGAGCAAAAATGATGCGAAGACTTTGCAAAGTGCGAACTGCCTGCCGACCCTGACCTCTGAGCCCTGCAGTAAGGTATTTGCCAGCCAGGAAGGTGCTCACACGGCCATCCTACTCTTGCATGGCCATGCTGCTAGGCAGCTATGCCATCCTCATCCCAGGACAGATGACAGGTGTGTTTGGCCACATGCGGCAGTCTTATGCTTGTTGGCACGAGTACGGGACTGGTGTGTTTGCTGGGATGCTGGCTGAAGCAGTGCGACGTTTCTTGTCTTCGCAGTGGTTGCGAGGATTAGTGTCGAACTTGTTCGAGTTCTTGCTGGGTGTCCAAATGCTTGGCATCAATGTCTTGCTGACGGAGGCGACTGTGACGACTAGTGGGGACACATGTCACAGCTTGAACGCTGCCAGGGTGAGTTGTAGTCCTACCGAAGTTGTAAGTGGGTAAAGATTTGGTGGCATATTGTTCAGGTGGATGGGGAGCCATCGCCCATTGCTGAGTCCACGTTTGGACTGGTTCATCTTTTATGTCAGACTGGTGGCTATGTTGGCGCCGTGCTGAATCTTGGCCGCCTTCGGCAAGATTTCGTTCGCTTCAGCCCGAGGCTTGGCGCTGTGAGCTGTGTTTTCGTAGACTTCTGCCTCCGAGGGTGGTCCTTTATGCTATGGTGATTCCATCCGTCAAGCTCATTGCTTTGGTTTCGGCAGAGATCTGGCGCGACAGCGAGGAACACCCGTAACCGGTACCAACGGGGCCATTGAAGTACCAGCAGTCAGTATCAGTAGCTGCCCGCTATCTTTTTTGACTGCACTGGGCACTGGTGGTCAGGACCCGCGGAAAGTGCAGAGATCCAAGCGCTTCATTCAGGCCCAGCTTTTGGGTTTTGACAGAGCTTCTGCGGTCGCTTAATCCGCTTTGGATGGCGCAGGTCGTGCAGTTCATCAGCAAGTGGGCATGCCCTGATATGTTCGCCTACATTCTCCTCCTGTCACATGTCTACACCTTCAGTCATTCGTGTATCTTATGTTTTGAAAGTTGCCGTGAGGGAGACCATGAACACACCAAAGTTCAGTTGGGGATCCAGGTCTCCCCGCTGTTCTTGCAGAACCAAGCTCTGTAATACTTGTTGGTGCCATCTTTTGAAGCTACCAGATGCTTCGGCCTTAAAGCATAAGAGTCATGGTGAACTCAACCAAAATGTCTCTCTGATCATCTTCCAGGTACCTCTTCCGGCACCTTGATGGTCAGGGTGGCATCGTTGTGGCACCAGCCCGGCTGGGCATTGGCCGCTGGGCATATGCTGGGCACAGTGTCTTAAAGCTGCCGCATTCGCAGAGATTGCTTGATGGCTGGAAGTTAGAGGTTTTGCTTGCTTCAGCATCTTCTGCGTGTTCTCCACCTTCTCAACACTCATGATACGGGCAGCTGGGCCACAAATATGCATGCTTCATACAGACTTGGACATGCACGGTTCAAGCTGGTATCTTCCGTTGTGCTCATCCTTTGCATGTGAAACTAGGTGCCAGACACTGCAGATGATCTAAGCGACGATGTAGCGCGCCCAATGCTCGCGCGCTGGTTTGGCATCGCGACTTGGCCAGATTTCAAGTCGTCAGCACTCACACTTGCAATGTCTTTCGTGCTCAGGTCTGCTTTGCTCGTTTGGAGTTGAGTACTCTTGACGATCTGTGGTAGATTCACCTGGTAGATACGCCGAGCCCTGTTATCTGAGCTGTCTGCCGAGGAGAACATCCAGATGGTGACGGCGGCGCTCGCCCTTATGTCCCATGGCTGACGGGTTGCGAAGATGTGTAGCAGTGTAGCAGATCTTGACACGGTCAAGCAGCAGGTTTCTGGTCCTGTTTGGCCTTGGACTCGCCATGCCGGTCATGGTCCTCTACCTGGATTCGAACCTCTTGATCAAGCCACCCGCCTTGGAAATAGATATCTTGTGCCTTCGGCAGCTGTGCGAAAGATGGCTAAGATGGCTAAAATTCATGCCAGGACCACTAAATCACGTGTCTATTGCAGGCCACGAGGGCCCCTGGACCCATCAATGAAGCCCATCGTCGACACGTTGCACATCGAGGACCTGGTCAACTCCGAGGCGCTCTTAGGTCGGCACGCTCATTCGGGTATTGCATTCAGTTCAAAGTAGAGGTGCCTGCACAGCACAGGTAACTATCTTTTCGGCAACTGCAGCGCTTGCGAAGTACATCGCCTCGGGCGAACTGAATGATATTTTCGCAGCTTGGGGTCCAATAAATTCCGGGTTTACGTGGCACAGGTATGTTTCCCAGATGTGAAGGGCTGTAATCTCAACACTAAAACACCGAGAGTGATCCTGAAGATGCAACACCGAAGGTGGCTGATTTATGTTGGCTAGGGCACCTCCGCACGATTCCGCATGCAAAGGCTGTGGTGATGCTGACCGTGTTCGTGATGGCTCTGCCGATCGTCAACATGTTCTGCCTGCTTGCAGCATCTTGGCACTTGCGGTCCAAGCAGCCGGACACTGCAGCAGCCTGGCAGTCGCTTGGCTGAAAAGTCTTGCTTGGGTCTGTTCGCTTGGGTCTGTTCTATGCAGTTCTCTACATTCCGTCGCGATCTCGTGGCAGGTTCCTTCGCCACTCGACCTGGCTGAAGCACATTTCCATGCTGGATGTCTTCATCATGGGTATCATCGTGGTCACCGCTGCCGGGAGTGCCTACTCGCAACAAGGATGCGCCTCTCGCTCTGCCGACTGCCGATTTCCAAATCGGTCACTGGGTTGTTCTTGCCTGTGAATATCTTCTTGTGACATTATGGCAGGAGTCCTTTTTGGAGTGATGGTGGGCCTGTGGATCCTTCTCTTGGCGGAGGTCACGCATTATTTCACACACTATCAGGCAGGTGCAGGGTGTGAAGCGTGCCGCGGAGGGGATAGTCGGATCACTGATCGTGCGTCTGGAATGCGGAGTCAACAATGACTAGCAGTGACTATCAATGGGTTATAATTACAATATCTCGAGACCCTTTTTCCCCACAGCCAAAAGGTTCACGGCGTCTACCGCTTTCTGGAGAACAATGCGGAAAAGCAGTGAGGGCGACTCACAGTTTCGATGCCGGCGAATTCGGTCGCAGCGGGTGGATGGATGAGTGCAAGTGGCGGATAAACATGCCCCTCAAGAAGTGCTTGCAGTACAGAAGAATCCAAACGCAGCAGTTGCTACGTAACGTGCTGAGCAGCCTGGCGTGCAGAGCTTGTGCGGCAGTTTGCGGCCACTTATTTTTTGCATCTGCAAAAACGTCGTGGCCTAAGGAGAGATCGAGGTGCCGGCCAGCAAAGTGCCAGCATTCACCGAGGGCTTAGACAAGGCGTGGCTCTGGTTCAGGGTTGGCTCCGACATGCTGTTGCTGCCGAGCTTTTTGAGGGCTGATCCATCGTTGTCGCAAGACCATCTCCTGAACACTGGCATTTTCTTGACCTGCCCCTTTCTCTCTGAAGGTCCGGGCTTTTGAGCAGTCCTGGAGCATCAACAGTGCTTCAGGCAGCGGCCGGCCGCCAGAAGGCGCTGGCTTCTGATTTCTGATCTCCCTTCGGCACTGGCTTGCCTTGGAATGAGCATGGTTATACTACGTGCATTCAGTGTACTCTGAACATGATGAACATTCTGAATAATTACGATGAGTGTTAGTCATCTTCCTCGGTCTCGTTCTTGGTTTCCCAACTTTGGGGTGTTTATGCATCGTGTCAGGCGTGTCGGCCTGTGCAAGCCTGCCACAAGCAGCAGACAAGGACGGGACGAAGGCAGGATTTTGGTGGATGTGCGATTCTTTTCCCGGAACCATCAGAGGGTTTCGGGTCTAGGGTTCAGGGTTTGGGGTATAGGGTTCAGGGTCTAAGGGAGGAAAAAAGACCAAAGCTCAAGTCCATCAGTGCACCACGAATCTCAGGGAGACAACTCTGCTGGAAAAGCCCATACAAGTTGCCGCGACAGCCCCAATCCACTTGAAATTCAATTCGGCTTTCCAAGAAGTTGCTAATGACCCGCGTGGTGCCCTAAATTTTAGACGGGATTTATCTGATGTGCAGCTGCGCAGCATCTATCACCGTTCCTGTTCCTGCAGCCGTCAAGGCAGGCGACGAGCCGTCCCGGAATTCGCAGCTGAGAGTGGATCTGAGCCTGTGCTGCAAGCAAGAAGGGTCAACTAAGGTTCCGTTAAGGTTCAGCTCAGGTTCAGCTAAGGTTAAACTAATGTTCAACCAAGGTTCAACTAGCGTACCCTCGAAGATCTCACTACTCGACCATGTCCATCCTTGCCCATTGCCTTCACACACACGCAAAAGAACTCGAAAAGTGACGAACACGTTGTCAGCCCAATGTTCATATACCCAGAAGGCCTGGCCGGACCCCAGTCCCCACTCCAGACCTTGGCGTTTCCCCTGGGCATGGCATGCGGCCGTGGTATACCAAGAGCTCATGCAATCTGGAGGTTCTGCTTGCACGTTGGCATCCCGGCCGAGTTCACCCAAACGGTCACGCAGTTTGTACATACCTAAGGAAAGCCTATGTGCAGAAAATGTACTTCGCGTTCTTGAGAGAAGGCCTCTGGCTTAGCGCATGCTGGTGCATTCATGATTCGGATTCTGACACATGCCCGGCACAAGCTTGCCAGCACAACAGCACGCAAGCAATGCATGCAAGCAGCAAATATGCTTTTTCTCGACATGTGGACTCGGGTTGCTGCATGATGGTCTGAGATTGGTTGCCTCCCGCCTGACATGGGCACTTCCTTACAATTACATGAAGAAAACTCAAGGCCAGCCTTGTAAGAGGCCTTCCCTGCAAGGGCCCTTCCCGGCAAGGGGTCGTCCCCGAAGCTTTCCCAGTAAGGGGCCTTCCTTGTAAGGAGGCTTTTCTCAGGCGCCTCCCCATACACGACTCCGGGCACTTTCCACATTGCAGACGCATTCACTTGGTAGCTGCTCTGTGGAGAACAGTTCTTGTTCAGCAGCTTTGCTGAGTGATGTAACTCTCACGTCTTCGAGATCACGGCATTCGGCATGTTCGTGCGGTACACAGGGTCAGTGGGAACTTTCTGGAGTTCAGTTTTCTGGGTGATCAGGCATTTATGCGCGGAACGGGTACAGGGACCGCACCCTCATTCTCCCATCCTGGCTGTCACCTTGACGACTCAACAGATTAAACTTCCAGAGACACAGGTAAAGGGCGGTCACATCGCATAGAATTATTGGAGGGTGCGGTTGTAACTGCCCAAGAGTCTGTCCATGAAGATGAAGAGCACCCATTATAATAAGGGACGCGCGCTATAAAATTATTCATGGCTCGCGTGTCATGCGTACGGAACACACCACTCATTGAGACAGCCCCAATACAAGCCCAATATACTAGTTACTAGTAAATTCGTGAGCAAAGCACGCATCAACTTGCCTTTGTCCACGCATTTAGTATTATATTCATAGGGCTTTTACACGGTTAACCTGGCATGGGGTGTGAGGGCTGTGTCCAAAAGCTGTGAATGCGACGTAGAGACAGAGGTTAGTTCACATCCTTTTTTCAGGGGTGAAAGACTCATGATGGTACGGTTTCTAAGTCAAGATGGTACTTCTGCAGAGCATGTTAAACGTCTTCATGTCATGGTGGAAGTTTAGATTTGGTGTATGTAGCTCGTGCCCCGAAGGTTTGGAACCCAACGAAGCAGCTGCATTGGCAATTCGTCAGGCGCGGGCTGCAGTGACAGGGGCTTTGATGACACGAGGTTTAGGTTTTTCCGAGCCTCACGGCCTGGTGCCTTCTGTGGTGAAGATTTCGTCACCGCCTTGCGCTTTGCGCCAATCCCCAAGTGCCCAGGCTGCGCAGGGCGCTCTGCCACCTGCCAGCTCACAGTGCCTGGTTGAACAATTTCATATGGAGCTGTGCGAGCCAATGTGGACAATTTTCCCTTTCTGTTGCGCCTTTGCGGACGCTTTTGTTTTGGATGTCTTGGCTTTGAACATTTTGGCATCTTGGTGGTGCTGAGGGGAGTCATATGGGTTATTGACACTGCCTGTGATGAGGAGCTGTTCCACTACGGCCAAAGAGCATGGCCAGCAGAAATCTGGGGAACAGCGCCAGGAGGAGGTCACAGCAGCTGGTCCGCAACTTTCACAGTGCGTTCTGTACTGAGCGGGTTCTAGTTGACCGCTGTTGACCCGAGGTTTCCGCCTGACACGAACTCAGCCTGGGACGGGCAGAAAATGCCTGTCCACCGCTGGAAATTTGGGCCCTCAGAGCAAGCTGCGGTGGGTCAGCTTCAAAAGCCCCGCAGCTTATGTGTGTGTGTCCTGAGCAGAGCATTGAATTCGCAGTCGCATGTGCTGATGCCTGTCCGAATGGGAGGCTGGCTTTGGCAAATTTTGTTGGACTGGTATGCCCTTTCTTGCCGTCTTTGGATCTGTCGGGCAATCCGGCCACAGCCACACCAGCTCGCTGTCCTTGCTCCTAGTGCTGCAACCGCTGGCTCTTGCAGTTGTTGATGCTCTTGATATATCCCGTGCTAACTGTGGTGATCTCATTGCTTCTTGCCTTTGTTGGCGCGGGGAGTCTGGTATCCAAGTGCCATAAGATGCCCTCCCTGTACAGCTGTGGGAGCCTCCTACAAGGAGCCGTTCCCCTGATTCGACATATTGGTGGCAGCTGTTCTCTGGAAGAATCCGTTCTTGCGCACCACCTCATGGCTGGTGGCAGCTGCATCACGGTAGGTGCACTAGACCAACGGTCTAGCTGCTGTGTAGCTCGTAGCTTTCAGATGTGTAGAGTACTTGCGTCCGCACCTGGGCGAACTTCGATGTTCATAAGAATCAAGATGCAAGACTCGACACCGATAGTGGGGCTTGCCAAGTACTTCTGCCGTCCAAGCAGGACGAGTCTAAGCTTTGCGCGCGCTATTGTTGCTTGTGGCTTCCTCCGTCATGATAGAGGCGTTGAGCATGAGCCGGGGATATCCTTAGTTCCATTCACAAGAGGCTGTTCCAATTCCCAGCACGCAGAGAAGACCGTGGTATTCTTGCTGTTTTTTCCGTGAGCAGCGACTGGCTTGTACCAGTTCCAGCGCACATTGTTGGGACACCCTCTGCGAATCTGAAAAAAAGAACGTACGATGCCCGATTTGATTAGGCAGCAACCGCTGGATTCTTGCTGTTGCCTGTAGTTCTGGACCAGAGGTGTTTCGTGCGAAACTTAGCAGTCCAGACACATGTCACATTGTGCAAAGGTTGCAGTGCAAATGTTTCGCCCCATGCTGCTACTACACATTTTCTTTGGGACAGGATATGAATCGGCATGTGCCAAGCATGCGTGGGATGCTGCGAGCCTCTTCTCTGCACGGTCACCTCGCACATGCTCCGCACAAGCTGAAGACCATTCAGTCCTTCATAACGCGGCTCCAGGTGTCGCTGGCATCTCCTGATGGCCTGACGCTTCCACACATGGTGCGACCGTCCAAGGTCATCAGGAGTGGCCCCATCCCTCTTGCCATTTTAATCGCTGATCAGTGGACGCCTCACACTGGCATCGTCTTGGAGCGCTTGGAGTCTGGGACCCTTGTAGTTGATGTGGGCTGTGAAGTGAATGGCGTGCTGCCCGCCGCGGGGTACTTCGCCAATGATGTGGAAGAGCTGACCAAGCTGTCGCCCGGTGACCGCGTCACATGCTATGCATGCTGCAAGTACCCAGAAGCTCGCTCTTCACAAATATTGTATCATATGGTGTCCTATCATGTTGACTCTACTTCTTTGGTATTCGTTGTTGTGGACTTAAACGGCCCCAGAAGAGAAAGATGTACGTATGTATCTCCATGGCAAATGGCAAACGTCAAGCAGGATAGTGGCATGCGCAGCGTATGCGGCAGTACAAGTCTTTGTTTAAAAGTGAGTGGTATGGACGGGCTTGACGCCGACGCTGCCCGCTGCCAGTATAGAGTTTGAGGCTCATGTGAAGAGCTATGAAGAGCTATGATGGGCTTACTTTGTCCCTGGCCTCTGTGAACAAAGTGAGGAAAGCAAGAAGCTCTTCCTGAGCCTGCGTCGCAGAGACATCCCGAGGGAGAGGTGGCGGAAGGTCATCGCTGATGGGCAGCGGCCCTATGCAGGATGGGCACGATGAAACCTGGCAATTCGGAGAACATGCACTTGCGAATCACACAACAAGGGTAAGAAAAGGGTAATCTCCCGTGTTTCTGGAACAGTGCCCTGCGTTTTGCGATCATCCTCTGTTGTTCCATGCGGCCTCCCTTGTGTGACAAGGATAGTCTAGGCTTTGAGCCAATGCGTGAAGGAGTTGTGCAGCGACGCGCGCCCTTCGGCATCTTCATAGACTTGGGAACTGAGGTTCCAGGCAGGTTTTTTGACTTGGATGCTTTGGGGCTTGGGCGTGGCATACGTATAGCGTCTCAGGCACGAGTGCGGACACTGTGTAGGGCCATGCCGACGGCAGTTCGATGAAGCACTGCTGCAATCGGAGATGTGTGGGACCGTGGGCTGAGCTGCCTTTTTTTGCCGCGGCCAGGCCTCCTTCCGAACGCGGCGCTGCCCGAAGCCTTGCAATCTGCCGAGGCCTGGGCAGAAATGACATTTCACAGCATGACCTGTTCATAAGGACTCTGAGAGTTTAAAGCGAGCCACCGAGCAAACAAGCGTGCCAGTAGTCATCGTCAGGGACAGGCGAAAGGAAACACCGTCCGCATGAGACGGTCTGCTTTCGAAAGGTTGGCGATCCCATCACGGTCTACGTCGTCAGCAAGCGTCCAGACTCGGGGAAGATTGACCTGGATACAAGCCCACGATGCTTGGACTTGTGTGGGGAGTTTCTTCAACGAACGCTGCGACCTTGCCGGTACTTCCCGTTGCTGATACCCTAAACCCTGAACCCTAAAATGACACATGCCCGCAGAGGAAACCAAGCGCTTCGGCGATGGGTGGAGGTTGGGCTCCAGCAAGTTGATGCTGATACCTGCTTGCTGCATGATGTTTGTCTTGAATGTTTGGCCAGGGCTAGCACTAGCAGATATGGCTGACTTGTGTAGATAGACAGCTGCATGACATTGATGTCTCCACTTTTTTGATAGTGCTTGCAATAGAGTAGGTGGATTTCCAGCCTATTCCACTTCTCATATATGACACACGTGGCCGCGCTTTTTAAGAGAGTGTATATCCCTCAGAGGTTTTTTGTCCTTTTCAGCTCTGAGCTCCGAGCCGAGTGCCTTGCGCGCCGGAGGTCACGGGAGATGGGCACACTCCGCACAAAGGCCATAAATTTCGCATGTGTCTCTTAGGGGTCTTTTGAGGCCTTTTTGACTTATGAGAAGATTCATGAGAAGATGGCAAGGCCTGCTTGAGGTTCGATTTGGGGTTCGATGTGTATGAGGTTGGAACTGCCTTTGCCAAAGCTCTGCACTGACGCGGGGGTGCGAGCCCGTAAGGTTTGCTCAAGGTCTGCCCTAAACCCTAAAAACCCTCAACAATGCGTAGAGGCCTACCATGCAGTGTGTCCGAGAGAGGTCAGCGAGGCAGGTGGCAAAACAACCCCTAAACCCTGGACCTGGTGATCGGGCATGCTCGCGCGCAGGCAAGGTGATTGGCTTTCTGGAAGGCCGTGGTGCATTCATCGACATGGGCCCTCTCCCAAGTGGTTAAATGCCAAAATGGCCGTTCCACCCACGATAATTACCTTACAACCCCATTTTTGGGAACGCTGACACGTCAAGCCAGGCTTCAGGGTTCTCACCGAGGAAAGAATTTGTGGATTGCTCTGACTTTTCGAGAAGAGATGTGTGGACAAATGTCAGGAATCGACCTCAAGAGTTTGTCATCGCATGAGCACAAGAACACCTAAGAAATGAAGCAGGTGAGCGAACACTGATCTGATTTGTGTTTGGGCGGGTTCTCGAGAAGCGAGAAGTGAGGCTTCGAGCGGCCGGCGTTGCTGCCTCTTGAGAGAATCGAGGCCCGAGGCCTTGTTGAAGCCTCGGAAGCCTTGAAGCCTAGAGGGTGCTGGCAACGAATCAGCAAGGTTGCTTTGCTGTGCCTGGGTCGGTGATGTGGGAGGGTCAGTGAAAAGGCGTCATGTCACAAATGCACGCGTGCGCCTTGCTTTATTCCTCCTTTCTAGACATCTTGCGGCGGTCATTCCGAGAAAAACCTAGTCCAAGAGCCAATCATGATTCACTTCGATTCTTCAGGGAAGGTTTGGCGCCTGCTGCAGATGTGGATGAAGCAGGCAAAAGGTTCTTTCAGACCTCCTCTGTCCAGGATGCACCCTTCCCCTGAGAATCCAGTGTAACCGTGGGCACGGGAGACCCTGCGCAGGAGGCGCAGACCGATGTGAAGTGTGGAAGTGAACTCTCGGTTTACATCACAGACAAGCAGAGCAAGTCCGGCAAGGTCACCGTGGCATTGGTGCCATCACAGCTCCCAAGACGTAGCTGGGAAGACATAATTGCAGATGGCCAGACGCCCTATGATGGTGTCGTTCGACGTATAATGGAATTTGGAGCGTTGGTCGATATTGGATATGACTCCCTCTGCTTTCTGCCGAACGCTCAGGTGCCAAACAAGTCTGCGGCCAACACCTTCAGCATTGGTCAACCGCTAACGGTATACGCAGTTCAGAAGCGGGTATCTACCGGAAGAGTGTCCCTTGCACTGGAACGCCGTGCCAGACCGCTGGAACCCTTAGAAGACGTCCCCTGCGACGGCCGCAGCCCATACCGTGGCATCATACGCAGTATGAACGAGTTCGGTATCTTTGTCGACTTCGGCTGCTCGGTCATCGGTATGCTGGATGAAGACCACAGTGACGCAGCCTTGATGCAGAAGCAATCATCGTTGAGAACCGGTGACGTCATCACAGTCTACCCAATCTGCAAAGATGTAGGCAATGGCAGGGTTTACCTCTCCCTGAAGAAGCGTGAGGTGCCCATTCGCTCTGTCTGGGAACTAGCGGCCGATGGACAAACTCCTTACCTGGCACGGGTGGTCTCCGTGCATGGCAAGGACTGTACGATGGACCTGGGGGCAGATACCCGGGGCTTGCTGACGCGGTCCACATTGTCCACATCACCCCAGGAGGGCTTCAGAGAGCTGGAGATAGGAGATGTGGTTCAGGTGTACATACAGCGTCGCAACTCCACAACCGGTTCGCTGACTCTGTCATTGGCGCCCTCGCCAGTTCGCAGGATAAGTTCCGAAGAGATTCTGGCAGATCTTAAGCGCGACAGCTCAAAGGTGTACGAAGGAGAGGTGTATTGCGTACAGCACGGCCATATTTTCTTGGACATAGGGTCGGAGTTGGGGGCTGTGATGCCCGACACAGTTCCGCTGCCCTTCATCTGTCATGTAGGGGATCGCGTCCATGTCACGCTTTCTCAGCATGACCCACGGCGCGGTAGACTGGTTGCTGCCCCGGCCGAGATCCAGCCCCCGCCGAGCCTGGAAAGCGCCGGCGAGGCAGGCAAGGGCATCAAGAGCCCCAAGGACGGCGAAGTGACGGCGGAGTCTTCGGCAACTGTGCCTACGACTTCAACGAGCACGTGGAAGGAGCCGCACTGCGCAGGAGACCACCGATGGAAAGGCTTGAGGCTTGAACTTGCGGGTGCAATGACTTTGTGTGTATCATTGTGCATCCATTACCGGAGGAAAGGTGTGACTTTGTTTTAACCCTATTCTGGCCTTGTGCCCTGTAAGAGGCCCTGTAAGTTCAGAGCAGAAGCACAATCTTCAACATCTTAGTGGTCTTGGCACTACGGAGCCACCAAACAGAAACAGAAAGCGAAGCACCGTAGCCACCAAAGAGCGGAAGAAATCCGCACGTCTGTAGCTGGGGTGCCCGTCAAGCTGTGCAAAGGCCAAGTCCTGTCGCGCCTCGCAGCTTCCCCCGCTACGTGTGTCACTTGCGGCACCACAGTTGTCGTTTCTCAAACTCATCTGTGTTGCCAGTAACTCTGAACTTAGGGATGCTCTGATTATGCTTTGATCATGCTCTCTGAGACTTGTCTTTTGGGCAGACACAATCATTTGGGACCCACGATGCGTCACACTGCAGCCAGAGGAGCCAGCGTCCGGCCCGATGGGCCCCGGGATCCCCAGGATGCCAATGCAAAGGGCCGCCTTCAGGAGCTGGTGCAGAAGGCGACAAAGCAGGCGAGTTGCGTGCAAGGAGGGATGGGTTGGAGATGGTTGGAGATGGTTGGAAATGAGACCGGAGAGGCTTTTGCCACGGAGGGTTGTGTGTGAGCCGTAGTGTAAGGTGTTGTCTCTTGAATATTTCTGTTCGGTTCGGAGGTTGTTGTGCTCACGGATGTCTAAGAAGAATTTGCCGGCATCGGCCACATGTTTGATGACAATGGGCGTGTTGAATCGAAAACTGCCACAAAATGCCGCCAACCAAGGTGCTGAAGCGTGGTGACATTATCTACAATACTCGCAGGGAAGGGCTACTCTTTTCGGCTGAGGTGGGCTACGGGAGATCGGGGATGAGCAGGTTTACTTTGCAGTTCGACGTGTTTGCCAGAGATGCTCGGGCCATTTCAACAATGAATGAGCTTGACATGTCATGAGCGTGCAAAAGGTCGTGACCTGAGGCTCGAAATCCAAGCAAGCAGCATGCAAAGCAGGGCGAATCCAAGCATGCCTTGCAGGTTCGGCTCAAGGAGGAGCTGCGGAGCTTGATGCCACGCTTTTCGGAGTCCCGCCTCGTTTTAAGGCTTAAGCCATGTGGACGTGTAGCAACCTAGAAGCATGAAGTGTCAGTGACCATGAGAATGCCCCGAGATCTTGGAAAGTGGTGTCAGAACATGTCCGAAGGCATAGTTTCTTGTGCCTCATGCGACTCGTGTGCCTGCGTCATGTGCCACTTCCTCTGTGTCTGAATTGGCTGTGAGGAAGCATTCGAGGGCGAGGCCCGGCAAACAAAGGTGCAGGCAGAACACAGTGCGGCGCGGAATGCTTTGGGCCACCTGGAGATGGCAAATGAACCAAAGAAAACATCTGCATTTTGCTTCGCCGTCATAAGAGCCCATAGACCGAGCAGGGCGTGCGTCTCATTCCTGGGTTACTCTTGAGTCTAGCCATCTAGCCGGTCTAGCCTCTTTTGGTTGACATCACTGGGTTAGAAAGCCGGCAGCTGCGAAAAACTAAGTAAGGTGCCACGCTGGTATAAGCATGCATAAATGAGAGCAGCTGTCTGAACACGGCGTATGCGCGCATGCCAACCCTACAGCCCTATGGCCCTATGGCTCGAAAGCACGAGCAGCGGCGGCGTTAAACTTGGCTGCTTAAGAGATGTTGTGAGGCATGCGGCTGCTGACACCAACACATACTACTGCATTGGCAGTTGATGTATGCAGTGTGCAGCAGGTGTTGCGAGACAAAGTCAGAAACAGCAAACAAGCAAGCACTCATTGCGCTATGCCAAGGCTGCCGCTGCAGATAACTCGGCATGTTTAGACTCTGGAGCAGGAAGCACGTGGTCTGGCGGGGCTCATGTCGGGCTTTGTGGCAGATCGCGCAGGCAATTGTCGGCTCCAGGTGGAATCTTGCTGTTTCGTAGTTTGTCGTAGATTACGTTTGCTTCAGGCTGAAGACTAGCTCCTTCGTTGGCATCTCTTCCCACTGACGCCTCCGCGCATCTCCATACTGTCAAATTGTCATCAACAAGTCCATTATGCGCAGGCTCTTGCATATTGCGCGGTGTGTCCCACGTACCTTTTTGCATGACGGATAGTTAGTTTAGGGGCCCGCTGGCCACTTCCAGAGCGAGGCATGGAACTGCCATGAAGTGGAGAAAACTGGAGAAATCCGCGGCATGTGGTACATCACAGGGCCGAAGTTGGCGCAGCGCGCGGCCCGACATGCATGGCTAGGTGACGGCAAAGAGGAGACCATTCCGGATGCGTACGCGCGGGCTGGTGATGAACGCTACCCCCGGGACGTACAGGACTTCCTGAAGCTTCTGCGCCGAAAGTGTGGCACCGTCGTTCGGGCATGGCGAGTGGCTTTGGATAAAGACGGAGGCAGCGAACTGGAGTTTTGCGAGTTTGTCAGCGCCGTGCGTCAGATGGGTTCCGCCGCGGGACAAAATGCACGAAGCCTGTGGTTCAACTTAGATGTGGACCAGAGTGGCACGCTGAGTCTTTATGACTTGGATCCGGTTGCCGCGCACGCGTTGGACAAGTTTCGCTACCTGTGCACCAGTCGATCCTTGCCTTTGTCAGACGTAGAGACTTAGTGTGAATGCTTGTTACATGTGTAGGCCAGGCAATGTGTTCATTCGCTCTTTCTATGATTTTGTCCAGACAAAGATGAGCAAAATGAGGCTATGGCTCCATCAATGGGGCTTTTGAGCAGCTACTCGATACGAAGAAGTCCGGCGTGGTGACCCTCGGAAACTTCGTCGAAGCCGTCAGGGAGCTGGGATATGAGCCAGCTGTGGCCGAGGAGCTTTTCAACTGGCTCCGCGCGCGGCCCGGCACCCTCTTCCTCCGAAAGAGCGACCTTGACTTTCTCCAGAAGTGGGAGGATTCCAAGCGCTACAAGAAAGAGAAGGCCGGCACCTTGCATGTGGGCTGGATCAACCGAGATCCTACTGCTGCTGTTGAGTACAAGAAGATGGCAGATAGACTGGCAGACAAGTGCGGGCAACGTCGGACCTCGGAGCACCCTGGCTGCTGACATGCAATCCTACCATGATACCATGTAAGTTTTTGTGATAATGTGTAACCTTCGCTCCAAAGCAGAACCCCCATCCTCCTATCAACTCATACCCGGCTGACATTCATGTATACGGTTGTTGATCTAAAGGGTCTTGTCAAGAATTTCTGTATGACAACCTACATTCCACGATGCGAGCGTGCGCGAAAGATCCGAGGCATGGAAAACGAACGTATCTTTTGGTGAAAGCTTTGACGAACGTCAACATTCGGCCCAGCGTAAGAAATCTGTTTTTCTGGAAGCAAGGCGTCCGCGAAAGTGTCGTGCAAGTGTGACGTATGTCTGGAAGAGCCCAGCCCTCCCTGGACCCTGCAATCCTCAACTCAATGATGCCTGAATCTCATCCTCAACCTTCCTCGTAGACACCAAACAAAATCCAAGCGAGAGTCGGCATTGCTGCAGGGCTATTTGGCTGATTCGCCTCCATCAATCCAGATGCATAAAGAGATGCGCACGATTAGACGCGCTAAAGTTCCGCGAAAGGAAAAGGTTTTCCACGAAGGATGTATTTCCGGGACACATCGCTCCAGATCAACTGCCAAACACGTCCTTTGTGTGTTTTGACCATGCTCAGGACCCCGTTCACGGCCACAGCCAACGCTATCGCCAAGGCTGCCAGCAAAACCCAAGATGACTCGCCGATCGACCTGGCCGCGGCACCCGAGCCCGAGCCTGCGTCGCCCACATCGCCCGAGGCTTGCGCGAAAAGTCCGCAAACGCCGCGGAGCGCAGGCAAGGTCGGCAGGGCCGCACGAGTGGAGGCTCCTGCCACAGCCGCGGCCATCGGCAGCGCACAGGAGACCGTGGGGTGCTACGCGATGAGACTGGCCTCGGACAACGAGAACAGCTGCACCAAGTTCTTGAAGCACTCGTGGCTGCAGAAAAGCTCTGTTCATATAGAACCCCGTAATCTGCCTGGCACCTTAGGTTCTTGACAAGAAAAACCTTTGGTTCGCGACAGGACCTTCTTCTGTGTTGGAGAAAAGTGAAGGAGAGAACAGCCCACTTGTTTTAAAGGCCCTTTTGCCTCTCTGTCTGTTGGGTGATGGCCGAAGGTACCTTCTGGATCGCTTCGGGTCGCTTGCGGCTGCCTGGGATGCAATGGAGCCCGCCGAGGTCGGCGAAATACGCAACTTGGCTCAGCCCGAGGAATTGCGAGGCTTGCTGTAAAAGAGAGGGCAAGTGAGTCAAGGTGATGATGCGAGATGCGCTGATGTGATGTGCGGGTTGTTTGTGGTGAGTTGCGGGTTTGCAAGAGCACCCGATTTGCTGCAAGTTCTCTGCAGCTGCTGGTGCCGGAGCTGAACGCTCGATCGCTCATTCGTCAGATATTGTCCAGTTTTGAAGGATGCAGGGGAGATTTCGCCAGTGTGCGTGGGTCGCTTCCAGCAAGTTCAGCATCGCTTTGCCTGTTGTGTCGCGGAGGCAAGAGCGACTTCGAGTTCGTGGTGTGCTTTAAGCTTGGTGTCCTGGTGCAATTGGTGGCCTGTGGAGTTCGCAGGGCCCGTTCTGAACATGACTTTTGGGCATTCATCTGCCACGCCACAGCTGCCTCTCCCCCCCTGCAAATTCGGTGGCAACAGGGCATAAGCAGAGACTCGTACAAGGTTGTAACAATCAGGCTGTGTGGACATCGTTTGGCAGCAACATCGGCCCGCCCATCCCTTCCCCGCCTGTATGGTAAGGATACTGCAGGAACACAGATGCCCGCCGTCTCTTTGAAGCCTTGCCCAAGAAGGCCGGAATTGTAACCAAGCACAGCGGAAGTTCGTATTCTTTGCAGAGTGGAAACCAGACCGAGCGTCGCGTACCAAATCCAGCAGGCTCTCTGAGCATGAAGGGGCCAAACCCCAAAGCCAACGTTTCCGCAGCACGGCCATTCCTTAAACAAATGGGAGGATAGGCACCGCCTGACCTGGCGCGACCTGGGCCTGAAGACAGATGACTGGCTTGCATTCCTCACCAAGAAGAAGTGGCAGACACCAGGCTGCAAGAACTTGCAGGCAGCCTGTGTGAAGTGGGGGAGAGCAGTAGTCAGTAGTCAGCTCAGGAAGTCGCTGCGAATGGTGGAGGAGTGCATCAGATCATGTCCTGCAAGGAGTGGCCTGTTCTGGAGGCTTTGTCTTAGTTGAAGCTCCCCAGGAGATAAAGAAGTCCGACGGAGATGGGGCCCGGCTAGCGCTGGAGCGACACTACCATCGAGCCAAACTGCACGGCCACCAACTACAGCTCGAGCCTTCTGTGCTGCATTGGCCAGGCTGCAGCTCCATGAAGTTCAGTGTGCGAATTAATCTTACTTACTAGTATCCTCAAGTCGTGAGTATACTCCGGCAGCCTGGTGACGTATTGTGCCAGGCAATGTAGGTTGGATGTGTGTTCACGGTTCCATGCAGCAGCAAGAAGGAATCTAGATTGTCCAGAGTCTTCAGAGTATCAGAGGTATCAGAGTATCTGGGGACTTGTTGCATCTTGTTGCAAGGTTTGGTGAAACACCGCTGCCGCGCAACCAGGATGACGACTTGCCGAACTGGTGCCGCCCAAGGCCACACGGTCTGACTCGGTGAATTCAAGCCCAAGAAGCCTTCGCACACCGGTATTTTTGCGTAGCTTCAGCGGCGATGGGTCCTAGAAACAGATGTCGATGTGAAGCCAGGAGGTCTTCTGGCCAACTCTTTGACCCACGCCCCCAGTTTCGCAGGACGGCTCGAACTCGGCGTCAACACGTAATCGGCACTGCAGCTGCCACCTGAGTTCTGCAGACCGCTTGAAAGTTAGCGTGTTGGGGTGATGCCTGTGCTGCACAAATATTGTGCGTTGCCTGAACACCTCAAAGAGGTGCACGTGGGCTTCCTGCCAGGCAGCACGTCCCAACGTTCGACACCCTGAAAGTGCAGTGGAGCAAAAACAGCCTCACTTCATGCTTTGCTGTTGGAAGCCTTGCACATGTTTTGCAGGCACTTAGGCAACAACCACGAAGGTTTAGCAAACGCTCAGTGCAAACATTGGCACGACGCCGTGTTATTCTTGCTCGCTGGAGGACCCCGAACTGCTCTGAGTTGAGGCCATCATGGCGTGCGAATAAATGGGGCAAGTGGTGTGTCAACCGAGCACTCGATTTACTTATCGGCCCATTCTATCCGGGATGAGGGTAGCAAATGGTAGCAAAGCAAAGCCCGACGGGGAGAAGCAGCATATTTTAGCTTACCCGCACGTGGCCCCTGCAAATGATGCGTGCGTGTTAACCACCCTCGACCTAAGGTCATGATGACGATGCTACCAGATGGCAGCCGCGATGCCATCAAGTGTTCGGCGAGCAGGCCAGATGGCCAACCCTGGAGACGTCGTGAGTCATGAACGTACGCTTTGGCACGCCCTGGCATCCGCAGCATGGATGCATGCTCTGCATCTCTGAGAGCACACCGTGAGTGACAACGGCCGCAAACCTTGGTCCTCAAGAACGACATTGGTTCATAGGAGCCCGGAACTTTGCACGGGAAAGCATGCTGGAGTTGATTCCTAGACTAGTTGCAAGCAGTATGAGACCTCTCGACAAGACAAGTTGCCTGTAGCCTGCAATCATGCCTCGCGAGCGCCATGCCGCCTGACGCAGGTTGCTGTGCAAGTGAAGCAGGGGAGCAGCGAGACCTGTGTATCCACCTGTATGCTACCCGTATCTCCCCTGTCAGAACCCCGCGGGTGCTGGGAGGTTTTCTCCAGTCTGCCAGTAGGACAGGGTTGGACTTTGGGTCGCAAGCAGGTGTAGTTTGTGCAGTTCAGCTGTCCGTACTATCAGCGGTTTTCTGTGATAGGTTTGGGCTCTGGATGGTCCGCGATCGCAAGTTTGCCTTTCGTACTTGGGAAGATTTGACTTCGGCTTGAAGCAACTCGAAGCCATCATGGACCTGCTGAAGCCAGCATCGCCATCTGCAGATAAGCCGCTGCTGCCGCTTCTGGCTTCACTGGCCCGCAAGCGGCAAGCACTGGCGCCAGTTGAGGTGCAGTGGCTCCTGAATGAAGGTTGATACCGTTGCTTGCTAAGGCTTCTGTTGGCAGTTTAGGATGGCTTTGAGATTGAGAGGAGTAGATCACAACGGCCGCCGTGCAACCTGTAGAACGGGCTGCAGGTCCCATCGAGGCATTTTGTTGGTGTAGTGTTCTGCAGGGCGCGTGCCTCCATGCTGTATGAGTCTTTGTCAAGTGGCTAGGACGGCAAGAGCGGCCAGCATGGCGGCAAAGAGACCACCAACAAGAAACCGCAGAGGCGCCGTTGCTTCACTGTCACGGGACAGCTCTTCTGACCTCATGCTCTGCTCACCGCTTGACAACAGAAGTGCCATTGGATTTGCACCTCGGCCAAGGAAAGCAAAGTCGAAGATGAA